ACTGGTGCCCATATCTAACAGTCACTGTGCGAGAAGTGAGGGACACTCTGGACAGGTCTCCAGTCCATGCAAACTCCACCCAGAAAGGTCCTCGACCGGGATTCGATCCAGCAACCTTGCCGAGAGGCAGCAGCCACCATGCCGCCCTGGCTGGATGTTCAGTTTGAGATATCTTTAATAATCCATCTTGATCTGTCCACTTCCACAGTTTTGTCTTTGACCAATCTGGAGCCTTCCTTGGTCTTCATGATGTCTCTTGCTTGGTGGTTGCCGTAGAGACGTTGACCTGGTGTTGGTTCTGGAAACTACCAGAACAGATTTCTACAGTACAAACTGTGATTATTTGATAATTTTCCCATAGGCGGCTTTTTTAACTAATATTCTGGCTTCATGCACCTTTTAGTTGAATATATTTTTATTATTTAAAGTGAGTTTTAACTTCAATAATCTGAGTTTTTTTTTTTTGTTAAATTAAATCTAATTAGAAATCCAGATAAACTCCGTGTTGTGGGGCAACAAAAGATGAATTTCCTCACAGTAAATCCATGCAGTGACCTCAGATTTGTGTCTATTTTTAACGCAGTGTCTCACGAGGATCTGCACATGAAGATTTATCTTTTCGTCTCCTGATTTCTTGAAACCTTTGTCTTTTAAACAGATTATGTAGATGATGATCACTGAATCCTTCTCAATCTTCTCGAATAAGACTTCACATGCTCTTTTCAGATCTATGCATATAGTCCAGTTGTTAACCTGACTATAATAGTGCGTACATAGTTTTACCTAAAACATTTATGAGTTTTACCAATTACTGTATTTTTCGGACCATAAGGCGCACTTAAAATCCTGTCATTTTCTCAAAAATCAACAATGAGCCTTATGTATTAATTCTGGTTGTGCTTACTGACCTCACACCGATTTTATTTGGTACAACTGAACAATGTTGAGTTATTGTGAATGAGTTGAATACATTTTGACTTATCTGACTGTTTTGTTTTGCTTAGTGCGCCTTATAGTCCAAAAAAACACAATATTATGTCACATTTTACAAAACTTTCAACTGTAAAAAGTTTATCATAAACAAATTATGACTATTTTTACCAGCACTTTTCTTCAAACTTGTATGAAAACATTTTTTTCTACATTTCATAGTAATACTGCAAACAAAAATTTCTTCTAAAATAACAACAAATTTTATTTATAGATATTTCTGCTGCAAAATAACAATATATAACAGAAATAATTGTTCTACAAATGTCCAACCATTAGTGTAGAGGATCTGTTTGTCTTTGAGTATGAATGTAAAAATCTGGACAACAAATTTAATATTTATTCTGGTGGATTTGTCGTCATGCTGCAACAATGCAGACACGCCTGAACAAAACGGGCCGATTGTTCAGCTGTTGACCTGCGCCCGCTCGACTCATCTTGTTGTTTTCTCTTGTAAAAACAAATTAAAGTGAAAGAGATTAAAGATGAACACAAGTGGAGAACAGAAACCGTTTTAGCAGGTCAGAGTCTGACGATTGTTTTGTAAAATCAGGCTTAAAGTGAAATCAAAAGGCACCTCAGCAGGAACGCTCAACACCCACACCCACTATCAGCAAATTAAATTTACCCCCCTATATAAAATATTTGGATTGCTTTCACACACACACACACATACACACACATACACACACAATGCAATAGCATAATCCCACACCAGATTGAGAACACCTTTAAGATACGATGTGATTATGATTATGGGTTTATGATCAAATTATGACAGAGTGACAGATTAGACATCAGTAATGCGTGTGCATGTGTGGAGGGGCAGTTTATTTTTTCTAAAAGATAAAAAAAAAGCAAATATGTGTGTAAAGTTTCTTAGCAGGACACTTTAAGTGTGTCATGTTTGTGTTTTTAGTTTTACATTAAAAACTCTGGATTAAAGGCACCATGACTGTCATATTTAAACACATTCTGCAAGTTTTTTCAAATTTCTTTACGTAACATTAATATTTAAATGTTTAAATGGACCTGCTCCTATGTGTTGCTGTAGTTTGTAAAACATGTTTCAGTCCGGCAGATTTTTTTCAGTGGAAATAAAAGAATCAAAGCTCTGAAACACGTTGTTTTATTTTTTTTAACGTTCCTGAAAACGCGACCTTTTTAAGACGCGAATCAGGAATCAACAAAATACTATTCATGTGTTTTATATACGTGTATGTTTATAGAGCACAGTCTGACCTCAGGGTGAGCTTGCTCGGACATCCAGCCCTGGGAGGATTGGTAAATATCTTTTACGGTGTTCATGTGTAAATAACATTCAACTTTTTTTTTCTTACCATTTTAAAAACTGGCAGTGATTGCATCTCTCCAGGTCGTTGCTCTTGTGTCGTATAACTGGTTAAAACACACTGAAAGCTGCTTTTTTTAGAAAAGAGTCTCAAACTTTCTGATAATCAAAGATGCCTAAACGTAGCACCTGTTGCCATTTACCGTTTTAACTCGTTACATTTTAATTTTGATGTTTGTTTTTTCTCAGCTCTTGGCTGATTACCGTAATATTTGTGTTTTAGTGCTTATTAATGGGCACATTTTAACTTGTGTTCAAACCAGTTTACCTAAATTTTTACCAACCTGAAAAGACGCCTGTGAACATTATCTTGATAGACTAACAAATATTAGCTTTACTCCACTTGCCAACTGGTTTTATTAAACCTTTTATAAATGTAAAAAGTAATCACTTAAACTTTGATAAGCAACTCATAACCGGCTGAGTTCAAATGATTTTAGTTTACCAAATATGTGCATGTATTCTCCCATACAATGGTGAAATTGTCTCTCTGCATTTAACCCATCCACCATCAGATGGAGCAGTGGGCAGCTGCTGAAAGACCCCGGGGAGCAACTGGGGATAAGGTGTGCTGCTCAGAGACACCACAAGGTGTGCATTGACTGGGGATTGAACGCTGCCCTGCCTCTACACCATCTCAGCACAAAGAGCAAAAAAAAGGCTCAAAGTTTATTTAAAGAATTGTTCTCAGTCTTGCTACATGAGAAAGTCAAGGAAATGGCACTTTTTAAACAAATTATTTAAAATGTATCTAATTAACATAATTTAGCTATTTTATTATACAGTAGTCCCTCGCTACATCGCAGTTTGACTTTCGCGGTTTTTCAAAGATTGAACACAAGAAAAAGCACTGTACAATAAAAAGTTAACGAAAAAATAAAATACTTCGGACAGGCGTCGCCATTTTGTAGCTTTCAATAAATCTACACTGTATCCCTGCTCATAAGGACTACATTTCCCAGAAGCCAACAGGGCCATGCCCAGAAGTCCCGTTGCTTTCAGCTGAAAAACTAGAAGGAACATTTTGATCTGATCAGAAAAAGTTTGGCGCTTATTACAGTGACTTCGGCGCCCAGCAGATGCAGAGAGACGCACGGAACCGAACCGGACCTCCAGACTCATCGGTGAATCTGAGAACTGCCCCACGAGGACTTCCGAGCGGGGAGGTGTCGCTGTAGGTCTGGCTTCTCTCTGGAGCCCACCAGGACTTTTGTTCTTCCAGATTTGGTCTCAATTGGACCACCGTCCGATCCTGAGCTGACCGTTCAAAAGTCCGGATCCCTCCAAAATGCATTTTGGTGCTCAAGGGCTGCACAGAACCGGCAGGGTAGGTCTGCAGAAACAGAACCGAGGTGGACTGGAACCGAGCAGAACCGAGAGCTGCTGCTGTTCTGCAGAGTAAAATTTAGTTTACGTGTTGTTAAAACTACGTAGGTTTAAGAGTTTAGAGCATTGAAGAGTGTGGGAAAGGTTTCTAAAGCTTTTTTATATATAAATACTAAAATAAATATAACGTCCCTACTTTGCAGATTTTCACTTATTGTGGGTGGGGTGGTGGTGGTTTGGAACGTAACCCCCGCAATAAACGAAGGACTACTGTATCAGATTAGAGCTGTAGTAAAAAACAGCATATTTCAACAGTTAACATATGAATGAGAAACATTAGACTTAAGATAAAATACCTGTGTATTTCAAACACCCACAATTATTATTTTTTATATAAATGAGCAGTCAGACTGATAGTTATAAGACTTGGATAAACATTTACAAGTAAACTGATAAGTTAAAATAATAAACTAACTTGTTCGTTATTATTTTTTTTGGGTCGCTTGAAATACAAGTAAAATCTCTCAAATACCAGGACGCACGTTTTCCCTCGGGGAGTCGCCAGTCGAGGATCCCTGCTCTGGAAGGTAGAGGTCGTGATTGGAGGAGCAGCAGAATCCCTAAAACGAGCAGGACTTCAGGATCATGTGGGCGACTCCAAACCGCCGTCCTCACTGAAACATAAGCTCTCTCCAAAAACACCTCATAAGTTTGACTTATTTCTTCTACAAGCAAAAACATAAAAAAAAAAAAAATAATAAATGAATAAAAAAAAAGATTAATCTACAAAAACTGAGGAAAAAACATTATTTCTTGCAGTAACATACACCACCACCGAGTCCTTGGCAGGTATTTTATTTCATATATAGACGCTTTCTGTAATCAAATGTGAGTGCAATCAAACAACAGCAATACAAACATTACCAATGCAGTCTGAGAACCAGGAACAGGGTTAAAACTGGGAGTTCACTCACTCTACGCAGCGAGCAGCTAGTAACCTCATGGACAACATTAAAAAAAATAATAAGAAAGCCTTTCCCTCAGTCACAACAGTCTGCCGTCTCATGAACCGATAACTGTGACGATGTTGAGGCTTACACTCTTCATACAGGAAGTCCAACCAGTGATACAACAATACCCCTCCCTCCCCCCACCCTCCAAGAAACAAAAAAAGCCACGAGTCCAAACTTGCACTTGGCTTTTCAGTAATAACCCTTCCCCCATCATGATTATCGTCGTCCTCCTAATGGTTATCAACAAAAATAAAAATCCAAATTTTAACTTGTTACACAGCAGGAGCCAATCAGAGTCCAGAGGTCCTTCAGGTTCAGTCAGTCTCGAGCAATGGCCGTCCATTGAGAATGATTAGAAAACCACAAAGCTGTTCGTGTAGAACCAAAGTCTTCACGCAGTGCCCCGCGAAGGTGGCACATGTTTCCACGGGTGGACGTGGGGGGGTGGCGGGGTCAGTGTATGGGTTTGTGGATCAGAGAGAGAGCGTGTGTATGTTTTTAAAAGAGGGAAGAAGCAAAGGTGTTCGGTAATTGTCAGACCCAAGAACGCAAAAATGAAAACGAGTTTAAAAAACGAAAACGTACAAAGACTTTAACCACCGCGTGTGTCCTCTTGGCCCTCGTTTAAACACGTACACGTACCAACTCTCACACACACAAAAACATGCACGCAATAGGTCCTCATGTGGAGTCGGGTGTTCGACATTCAAGAAAAACAAAACAAAAACGGTAAAAATCATCTTTACCATCACGACGCTTCAGTTCATAAAATCTTGACTTTTCTGAGAAGTGATTCGGCTTTTCCTCCGGGATTAAAGCAGTACGCGTGTTTAGGTGTAGTCTTTGTCCCGCTGCTGCGAACACACACGCACACACACACACACAACACACACACAACATACACACACTCACGCATTCCAGCACACACCACGCATCCTCTTTTAGTGGAGAAAGACATGGCGCAATGGAGAGACGATCCTCCTCTGGGTGGATGCACGGGATCACCGGGAGGAGATGGGGAGCGGTTGCCACGGCTACCAGGGGTCATCCAGGTCACCGGCACTCTGAAAGTCAGGGGAATAAAAAGGAAAGGTGTGTAAGTTTGTTGCTGCTCCCACTTTCCCTTCACAGTAACTTTTAGCTCGTTTTTTTTTTTAAACGTATGAATCTCCTTGTATTTAACGTGATGGTGGCCGAGCCTTTACGCAACCAGAACCTCAGACGACTCACCTGGCAGAGCATCACAAACTGTCAGACTGAAAAAAAAAACAACAGGGAAGGACTGGAGAGAATAGTCCTAATGTTTTAAGGAAGACAACGGATTAAATCACGTTTCTAAGACACACAGGAACATAAAGGTGCTGAGAATGGCCCTGTATCAAATGCAACCATATAGTTTTTTGTTGTCGTTGTCTGAAAACAACCTGACACGTTAGGTCTTGGATAACAACTCAGATCTACACAACTTTTGACACAGGACCAAACACAAGGAAGAGCGACACAACCCTTTTACGGTAAGAAATACACTTGTGGAATCAAACTTCAGGTGTTTTTTTATTTGATCATTTCAGGACTGATTTTGTCCCACATACAAATACAACTCATTCATACACGCACATACAGAACACACACGGTGCTCATCATAACCCTACCTCTGATTTAGATTCTGAGATCAAGCTTCATCAATGAACACAGACTGATTCACAACCAACACGCTACAGTGGTTCAAAGTAGGGATGCACGATATTGGATTTTTAGCCGATATCCGATATGCCGATATAAATTATTTGACCGATAACCAATACCAATGTATATTTTTCCTAGCTAGACCTACTTACAGAGAGTACATAGCTTTCTCTGCTGTGGAATTAAAATACTACATAATTCTGCATGGTCTTTGTCAGTTTGGTCTGTTACCAAATGCAGACGCCAAAAAAGGAGGCTGAAAATGATGCAACACTTTAACTTGAATTATGTTTAATGTCAAATTTATTCATGATATTTACTCTCTCTAACACAATGACAACACTCGAACAGTGTAAATTTTCACAAATCCAAACTCAACGGTGCGTGTGATGTCATAATGTTGTGCTGGCACCGCAGGCATCCTTGTCACTGGGTTGTCATACAATTACAGAACCCTATGTTTTTATATATATATATATATATATATAAACAGTGCCTTTTATATCGGTGAGTTATTTTGATGGAATGTCCGATATTTAACTTTATCGCTAATATCGGCCGATACCGTGCCGATAATATCGTGCATCCCTAGTTTATAGTAAAGTTTATATAAAGTTTGTGTCATTCTGAACATGATTTTAGCCTGTGTGGAAAGAATGTAATTTATGTGGACTTTAAAGTGTCCCTCCCTCTTTCAGATTTAGAATATATTCCAGATAAAGAGAAACAAACATTTTTACAGCTATCTTTTACAAGAATTATACATTTCTGCATGTCAAAGCAAGAAAACATAACGCTAAATGTTATACACGTTACATATTAGTATGGTAGCATTCAACAGGAAATGTTTAACAATAACAACAAAAAAAACCTTTAGGGTGCTTCTAGAGGAATTAGGCTATTCTGTTATTTATATAAAACAGCAATGCCCCTTTATCTTATAAGCAAGTTACTAGTTTCAGCTTTACTCAACACTTTCATATAATCCGAACAGCTGCTCTGAAGCTTCACCGTATGAAGGCTGATTACGGCATCTGACTAATGGCATTGGATTTCAGTTTAAAATCCTACCATTAGGTCAAAACGCCTTGGATAGCATTTCAAAATATACAAAAATGTGCCACAAAATATAAAAACACAACTCCAAGTAAGTGTTTTGATTCTCGCTGTCTCCGCTAACACTGCGCTAGTTGTTTTATGGCTTTCACCAAAGCTTGTGTGACTCGTTTACGTTTACATCCATTTTTAGTACCCTGACTTCTTAGAACAATTTTTCTATTCAAATAAAAAGTCCAGACTGTTGAAAACTAACAGGGGAAAAAAACAAACAAAAAAAACAGGAGTGATGATTTCTCCTTTGTTGTCATTCAAACTCATGCAGACGTAGAACTGTTTGCTCTGAGTCAGTAGATAAGAGTTCAGTGCCGCCACTGTTTTTTTTAATAAGTTCATCCACTATAAGCAGGTGGGGGCTAGGAGGGAGGAAGAGGGAGAGGACAATCAGCCAGAAACAAACAGAGGGAAATGCAGACTGATGAACACATGGTTCAACCATTTTTACATAAATGACTGACGTCTATTGTAAACATCACAGCAGCTGAGCTGTAAAAGCCATCGGCATGTTTGGGAGTCCAAGCCAAGGTGGGAGAAACACAAAAAGGAAACAAGAACCCTCATTACATGGAGGGTGTACAGTACTGGAAACAGAACGTGAATACACAGAAAGACCAGTTTTGCATCTGTTTATTATCACCCGCCAACAAAAGCCAAAGAGCAATAATATTCTGGTGCGTTTGTCTGTATCACTAACAAAATATCCCACGAATCACTGAATGGATTAAAACTTTCAGAAAGTACTCACTAGATTCACGTTTGGAGTCGACTCGACTCGTCGTGGCCACTGCAGCAAAGCATTCTGGGCCAAAACAAAAATGGCTGTAACTCGTCAGTTTTACAGATGTTGAGCTAAAATTTGGTGTTAGTAGCTGAATCACTCATAACTTGGGCTCAAACCGCGTATAGATCATGTGACATCGCACAATATTGCATCAGATCGTTATAATTTCAAGGTTTGACCAAATTAGCTGAAACATTTCTCAACAGATCTTTGACTAAAACTCTGGCATAAAAAGTGGAGGGCGATATCCATCCCTTCAACGAATACGGTCTTTAATTAACATAATTATTTATCACCACAGAGGAAATATTGGCCCATGTGTTTATTCATGTTCTGTGGTAAAGAGGATCTGGCACAGCCCTGGGGTGGGGTGGGTGAGTGGGTGGGTGCTCAGCCAGAGGAAATATCAGATTTAGGGGGCATCTTGGTCGGCCTCTGGTTCTGCAGTGGCAGGTGAGGGTGGGGGTGAGGGGGGAGAGGGAGGGGAGGCAGGTTGCTCCTGGCCGTCATCGTCAT